AAAATTTTTGTTAAAGTTTTGATATATTGAAAAGTGTCTGCCATTCATTTTATTATTTTCTTTAATTCTGTAGAGCCGTTTTTCTATCCGAGCAATAATTACGAAAAACACCGTTTAGTACGAATTACTCGTTCGATCGGTAATAACAGGAAGGTCCAGGACCCTCTTAACAGTTTTCAAAGCGAATGCCGTCGAGAGCTGCTAAATTATCGTGACAAAATATAGTTTGTCTCACATTCTCGGCCAATAAATTTGTTCTTTTATTAGTGACTACATTTCCTTCCACGGAAAACACTCTCTCGCTAGAAGTTTCCGTTGCAGCGATGGCAAGATAACGACGTGCAAGAGGTACCAAAAATGGAAAAGTTAAAGCATTTACTTTCCACCATGTAAGCGGATCTTCTTGTTCGCTAATTGTGGGTGATTTTAAGTAATTCTCGACCTATACATATAAAATTAAAATTTATTTTAATTAATATTTTAGAAGATATACATATAAAATTAAAAAAAAACAAAAAAAAACAGAAAAGAGTTTTACCTCTATTCTGATTTTCGTCTCTTCATTTGGAGAGTTAATGTTTCTAATATTAACTTTTTTCTTTAGATGTCCCCATTTGCTTCTCTTTGTAAAAGATTCTGGCAAAGATTGATTGATATGAACTTTAGTTTCAAATGTAGTACTTTTAGTATTTTCTCTCAGTGCTTCTATAGCCTTTTCTTCTAATAAAGAAGCACTGTCTTTATTGCTAAGAAGTGTATTCTTAAACCTTAGGTCCAGCAACATCGCTATTCTGTACAAAGGTGACTCCCAGTAGTTTGAATCAATGAATCTTAATTTTATAATGGCTAAAAGTTTCCTTGCAAATAATATTCCTGTTCCTTTAGGCGCTTTTTTAATAATATCTTCTAGTGAAGATTTAATTTCAAATAAAACTGGTAATACCATAGAAAGAGTTGGTTTGGATCGGCTACCCATTTCAGCAGTAAAATTAGCAATAGATCGTAAAACTTCAACATATCCTTCTAACAGTTTCCATTCTTGAACTGTAAGGCCATCAATGTCCGCTTTATTCATTTCACTAATAATTGCAGATTTTTGTTCCAAAAATCTTTCTAGCATTAAAAATTCACTATCCCAACGAGTACAAACCATTTGGATCAAATCGTGCTTAGGAATCTTGTGTTTAGCTTAAAAGTGTTCAAGTGATTCTCTTGCAGATTTGCTTCTATTATATCGAGCCACAATATTGGATACTTTTTCTATAATATTATTAGCATTCATTTCTTTTCTTGTATCACTGATAGTTAGTTGAAGAGTATGATTATAACAAAGGATATGTTCCCAAAATTTTCTGTTAACAGCTTCCCAGCAAACAATTTCTGACTGCGCAGACCTTGGCAACAGAAACTGTGTGCAGAAACGCTACAGTACGGAAACATGCTTTGGTGCTGCCAAAACTGTTAGCACATAGAGACAAAAAACGCAACA